TTAAAATAAATTATCGAAGTAGTCAGTTCTCCTAGATTAGGACAAGCCTAATCGGTTCCGGTCTTTCAGACCTTTATACAGGCAGGTAGAGATTAGTACAAGCAATTCGATCAGTGAAAGTGTCGTACTATTAGAAGTGATTACAATATGTAAAGTCATGCAATAATAACATTTTTTTTAAAGTATCACTATTTGTCTCCGTTTCTTAATTTAATATAATACATAAGGATAATCAAAAAGTATTAAAAACCCAAAGGTGTAGTTTTGGGTATGGTAGCGGCCTCAGCTCGTTGTATAAAAGTGGTTTGGCCACGTTATCACAAATTGGCCTCCATGAAAATAAGGTCAATTTGCGAGAATGAGGTCAAACTAATCGAGGCAATACAATGTAGAAAGCAACGTCACCTGTTGCTTGAACAATCGCCTGAGCGAAAGTTCTTATTTTTCTTATATCGGCAGAGTTTCCAGACTACCAGTAAATCATCCTATTTCGTTTGAGGTGATGAAGGATTGGTAGTAGAATTTTCCCACAATAATATGAATAGAGCTGACATTTCCATTAAATTTAATTAAGGGAAAATTCTACTACCAGTCCTTCCTTACCTTAAACTAAATCGGGTGAATACATCTCACAAAGCTCTTTTTAAGTAGTATGTTACAAATTTTGCTATTATTGCTTGGTCCATGAGCTACAATAATGATGCCGCGTTTGTTAGTAAAAATATCACTTTTGCATTCTTACATAAATCGAGCATTGTAATACTTCTTTTCTTACAGGTGGCCTTCAAACAACATCAACTTGTTTCCGCCTTACCTTTTCCCTTTATTTCATCTGCACCGCTGCTTGATGCATTCCAGTATCTCTGCCAATTTTAGAATTGCGATCACCAAGTTTGTGTCTTTTTGGTACCTCAACTTTCTGCTATACTGTAAGCATAAATCGCATATTTTCCCACCTAGAATATTCACTTAAACATTCTTCCCTTTGCCCTCAGTTGCTAAGGCGATGTTATGTAATGTTCAATATATTATTCGGTACATATAAACTGGGATGGCGTGACAAGCCTAAGCACGTGCCTAAAGGGCAATAATAACTTATGTATCTGTAATAATGAACCCAACACACTGAATTATGGCTTCCATTACATGCGGCTCGGTTTCAATTTATAACTCGTAATAAATCGAATTTACCATTATTTGAACTATTAGTAATCGCGGCCCGCCTGTATTTAAGTTACTGACCTTGGGCTGACCCACCGAAAATTTTTAGGTTGGTAACCGGCCTTGGTGATGTAGTCGTTTGCTTTAGGAGATAGGCTAGCCGCCCAATGCACTTTGGACGAAAGGCAGTTTTATAGCATGATTGAAAAGGAACCAGCACAAACCTAAATTTATGGCTAATCTGAAAATTTTGACAGGATATCCTGATTTAAAATTAAAACAATTTTATTCCCCACTGCAGGCTGAACCCGAAAACTCTGAACTAGAAATTCCGTTAACAAAGACCTCGAAGTTCGATCACTCTTGCGAAATTAAATCATGTGAATTATTGAAAGGACTTCGATGGCGGTTGAATTAAGTTACAGCCTGTTTGACCATGACGGTAGTAAAGAAGCTTTTTGTTTGAATGCTAAGGAAGACTGAATTTAATAATAGTACCTCTCCTCAAACTTGTCTATCGTACGACGGACGAAGTGGAATCGCAGATTGGTTCCGGCTGGAGGCGAATTGTACAAAAGACAAGACAGTAGTTGCAGCCTGAGATCTTTCGGATCTACCTTCCGGAAGTAAAGAATACCTAATTTTACACTCAAAGTGGTACTGAGTACATCTTTTTGGCTCCTCTTGACCTTTGAAAAGTTTACCCGAATTACCCTAGATACGGTGTTTTGCACGCAAGAGCATACTGACAGACCAGTAAGTCTTTGGATGGTGCTTGAGGAGGAATAAGAATAGAAAGGAATGGATGATGAACTAAACAAACACATTCCCGCTTGCGTTTGGAGCTTTAAACGACTTGAAGCACGGGCCTTTATGGTCGTGTGCATTTCGAGGCACGAGGAGGAGGAGGTACAGCAAATACTTGGCTTTAATAGAGGAAAACGTATTTTCCTCTTGAAATAGCCGTCTTGGTTGCCCGAAATGTGGAATATCGGGAGCATCGATGTTGTGACCGAGCAGCTTCGTCCGTTTATGAGTGATTTCGTGTCATCGGGTGGTGCGATTCAGGCGCCATATGGGCTTGCATCACCTCTGTCTTAAGGTTGTGCGAAAGTGGACGGATCTTGAGCCTCGATTTGGAGTGTCTTTGAAGGAAAGACAACAGAGACCCATGGCAAGACGCAACGATGCGGGAGGCGAGCTATCGGCTGCTGAATAGCTTCACCTCGGACCACTACTTTCGACCTCTTGAGTAGTCAGTCACAGTACTTATACTAATATTTATAATGATTACTTATAGCAAATTATATATTTATATTCATATTCATAAGCCTTATATATATATATAATATTTATATTTATTCTTTTCACCAATTTCAGTAGGTCTTAAATAAGAATTATATTCGTTCTAGTTCGCACGGGGTAATACTTGAGTATTCCCATGATGGTTCGAGTTTGCTGATGAGGCCCAAGAGAGATGGCAACGGCAATCCATTCCATCCGGATGAGGATACAATTTGGCAAGCGAGGCTAAGGAATCGTAAGACCTACTCATGGCATTGCGGGACATTTCAACTATCGCCGAG